ACAAGCAAAACATGATCACACCTCAGTACTCTTTGGGTGTTAATCACATAGCAATGTGAACTAGATTATTGACTCTAGTAAACCCTTTGGGTGTTGGTCACATGTCGATGTGAACTATGGGTGTTGATCGCACGGTGATGTGAACTATTGATGTTAAATCACATGGCGATGAGAACTAGATTATTGACTCTAGTGCAAGTGGGAGACTGAAGGAAATATGCCCTAGAGGCAATAATAAAGTTATTATTTTATTTCCTTATATCATGATAAATGTTTATTATTCATGCTAGAATTGTATTAACCGGAAACATAATACTTGTGTGAATACATAGACAAACTAAACGTCACTAGTATGCCTCTACTTGACTAGCTCGTTAATCAAAGATGGTTATGTTTCCTAACCATAGACAAAGAGTTGTTATTTGATTAATGGGATCACATCATTAGGAGAATGATGTGATTGACTTGACCCATTCCGTTAGCTTAGCACTCGATCGTTTAGTATGTTGCTATTGCTTTCTTCATGACTTATACATGTTCCTATGACTATGAGATTATGCAACTCCCGTTTACCGGAGGAACACTTTGTGTGCTACCAAACGTCACAACGTAACTGGGTGATTATAAAGGAGCTCTACAGGTGTCTCCAAAGGTACATGTTGGGTTGGCGTATTTCGAGATTATGATTTGTCACTCCGATTGTCGGAGAGGTATCTCTGGGCCCTCTCGGTAATGCACATCACATAAGCCTTGCAAGCATTGCAACTAATGAGTTAGTTGCGAGATGATGTATTACGAAACGAGTAAAGAGACTTGCCGGTAACGAGATTGAACTAGGTATTGAGATACCGACGATCGAATCTCGGGCAAGTAACATACCGATGACAAAGGGAACAACGTATGTTGTTATGCGGTCTGACCGATAAAAGATCTTCGTAGAATATGTAGGAGCCAATATGAGCATCTAGGTTCCGCTATTGGTTATTGACCGGAGACGTGTCTCGGTCATGTCTACATTGTTCTCGAACCCGTAGGGTCCGCACACTTAAGGTTTCGATGACAGTTATATTATGAGTTTATGCATTTTGATATACCGAAGTTTGTTCGGAGTCCCGGATGTGATCACGAACATGACGAGGAGTGTCGAAATGGTCGAGACATAAAGATTGATATATTGGAAGCCTATATTTGGATATCGGAAGTGTTCCGGGTGAAATCGGGATTTTACCGGAGTACCGGGAGGTTACGGGAACCCCCCGGGAGGTATATGGGCCTTAGTGGGCTTTAGTGGAAGAGAGGAGAGGTGGCTAGGGCTGGGCCGCGCGCCCCTCCCCCCCAGTACGAATAGGACAAGGAGAAGGGGGCGGCGCCCCCCTTCCTTCTCTCTCTCCTCTTTCCCCCTCCCGAATCCTATTCCAACTAGGAAAAGGGGGGGAATCCTACTCCCGGTAGGAGTAGGACTCCTCCTGGCGCGCCCTCCTCCTGGCCGGTCGCACCCCCTCCTTGATCCTTTATATACGAGGGCAGGGGGCACCCCTAGACACACAAGTTGATCCAAGTGATCATATTCTTAGCCGTGTGCGGTTCCCCTTTCCACTATAGTCCTCGATAATATTGTAGCGGTGCTTAGGCGAAGCCCTGCGACGGTAGTACATCAAGATCATCACCACGCCGTCGTGCTGACGGAACTCTTCGCCGACACTTTGCTGGATCGGAGTCTGGGGATCGTCATCGAGCTGAACGTGTGCTAGAACTCGGAGGTGTCATAGTTTCGGTGCTTGATCGGTCGGGCCGTGAAGACGTACGACTACATCAACCGCGTTGTGCTAACGCTTCCGCTCTCGGTTTACAAGGGTACGTAGATCACACTCTCCCCTCTTGTTGCTATGCATCACCATGATCTTGCGTGTGCGTAGGAATTTTTTTGAAATTACTACGTTCCCCAACACATACCACAATTAAGAAGATTTGCATTGAAATTATGCCAAGTAGCACTCCGCATCAAAAATTCTCTTTTTATCATTTACCTACTCAAGAACGAGCAGGAATTAAGCTTGGGGATGCCTGATATGTCTCCAACGTATCTATAATTTTTGATTACTCCATGCTATATTATCTACTGTTTTGGACTATATTGGGCTTTATTTTCCACTTTTATATTATTTTTGGGACTAACCTATTAACCGGAGGCCCATCCCAGAATTGCTGTTTTTTTGCCTATTTCAGAGTTTCGGAGAAACAGAATATCAAACGGAGTCCAAACGGAATAAAACCTTCGGGAACGTGATTTTCTCACCAAACATGATCCAGGAGACTTGGACCCTACTCCAAGGAGTCAAAGAGGCGGTCACGAGGGTGGGGCCCCCCCCTCTAGGGCGCGCCCCCTGCCTCGTGGGCCCCTCGGTGCTCCACCGACGTACTCCTTCCTCCTATATATACCTACGTACCCCCAAACGATTAGATACGGAGCCAAAAACCTAATTCCACCACCGCAACTTTCTGTATCCATGAGATCCCATCTTGGGGCCTATTCCGGAGCTCCGACGGAGAGGGCCGTCATCACAGAGGGCTTCTACATCATCATAGCCTCTCCGATGAAGTGTGAGTAGTTCACCGCAGACCTTCGGGTCCATAGTTATTAGCTAGTTGGCTTCTTCTCTCTTTTTGGATCTCAATACAATGTTCTCCCCCTATCTCATGAAGATCTATTCGATATAATCTTCTTTTTGCGGTGTGTTTGTTGAGACCGATGAATTGTGGGTTTATGATCAAGTCTATCTATGAATAATATTTGAATCTTCTCTGAATTCTTTTATGTATGATTGGTTATGTTTGCAAGTCTCTTCGAACTATTAGTTTGGTTTGGCCTACTAGATTGGTTTTTCTTGCCATAGAAGAAGTGCTTAGCTTTGGGTTCAATCTTGCGGTGTCCTTTCCCAGTGACAGAAGGGGCAGCAAGGCACATACTGTATTGTTGCCATCGAGGATAACAAGATGGGGTTTTTATCATATTGCATGAAAGTATCCCTGTACATCATGTCATATTGCTTAAGGCGTTACTTTGTTTTTAACTTAATACTCTAGATGCATGCTGGATAGCGGTCGATGAGTGGAGTAATAGTAGTAGATGCAGGCAGGAGTCGGTCTAGTTGTCTCGGACGTGATGCCTATATACATGATCATACCTAGATATTCTCATAACTATGCTCAATTCTATCAATTGCTCAACAGTAATTTGTTCACCCACCGTAGAATACTTATGCTCTTGAGAAAAGCCACTAGTGAAACCTATGGCCCCGGGTCTATTCTCATCATATCAATCTCCATCACTTTAATCTTGCTTTGCTTTTTTACTTTGCTTTTTTACTTTTTACTTTGCATCTCTATACCAAAAATACCAAAAATATTATCTCTATCAGATATCACTTTCGTAAGTGACCGTGAAGGGATTGACAACCCCTAATCGCGTTGGTTGCGAGGAGCTATCGTTTTGTGCAGGTACGAGGGACTTGAGCGTAGCCTCCTACTGGATTGATACCTTGGTTCTCAAAAGCTGAGGGAAATACTTACGCTACTTTGCTGCATCATCCTCTCCTCTTCGGGAAAATCCAACGCAGTGCTTAAGAGGTAGCAACCACCTAGCGATGAGTACAAGCACTGGAGCAAGCCGAAGGCGCGCCGCCGTCATCGCCCTCCCTAACTGGAGCCGGACAAATCTTGTTGTAGTAGATAGTGTGATCGGATAACTTGTTGTCGGGAAGTCACAGTTGTTGTGAAGTAGCCGGACAAACCTTGTTGTAGTAGATAGTGTGATCAAACTTGTTGTGAAGTCGTCGTGCTAAGGCCCCATCGGACCATCACACCAGAGTAGCAACCATCGCCGATGAAGAAACTCGTAGATCAGAAGGATCAAACCTGTAAACACCCGAATGAAGACGATCGAAGACCGGATCCAAATAGATCCACCGAAGATCAGCACCGACCGAATCCCGCGAGATCCGACGGAGACACACCTCCACACACGCTAAACACACCATTGGGACGAGGATAGAATGTGGGAGCCTAGTAAGGGACATCGCGGCCGCCACACAGCCCCAATCAAAGACATTGAACCTAACAAGAACGAGAACGGGCCCCTCCCGCCGGTGGGGGACTGAGATCCTCCGCACCTCCATGGCCTAGAGGCCATCGAAGATGGGGCGGACCCACTTGGCAATCATATGTCGTTGTATCGCACATGCCAATCATGTGATTTAATCAAGCAGATAAACACATAGCACAATCATGAACACAATAACAATAATTAAAACCAGATATAGGGAGAGAAACTCAGGTATTTTATCTTCCTTATAATCTTGGCGTACAAGATTAAAACTCATTGCCTTCTACTCCCTATATTTCCAAAGAGCGACGCGGGTCAGATCCTGAAGGACTACTTCCGACTGAATTCCTCAAAAACTATTTCCGACTGAATTCCTCAAAAACATGCTCGTTGCAAACCTAGCAAGCTCCAAATCATCATGTTTGACGTACGTACGTCTTGGCGGAGGATCTTGAAACGATGTTTTTCTGCCGCTCGTTTTTATGCATTTAATTAAGTACGATCTTTTTTGCGCAGTGCTGATTTTGATCGTCAGGCGACAACCAATTTTTTGGTTGAGTTTTAAACTGCTGAAACATTGGAATTAACAGCAACGTCTCTTCCCGATAAATACAAGGCAGCAGCATTGGAATTTGAAACAACGCATGCACCGTCGTCTAAATAATGGCATGGGAACTTGTTCAACGCCGCCTAAATGTATTCTCAAGTTTTAATGCCATCTTCACTGAAGACTAAACGCCTTCCTGAGTCATGTAGTAGTACTGAGTTTATATATGCACGTACCCCCAACTTCTGTTTCGTTGCACTCCACGCCATGGCCAACTACTCATCTTCATTCTGAAGCACTCCTCCAGGTTACAGCCACACGCCCAACCTCCGTTTCATTCCATTCCATGCCATGGCCAACAGCTCGCCTTCCTCTGTCAACAAGCACATATCCGAGACCTCGTCGAGATGCCGGACAGAGTGTGTCGCCACCGCCCACAACTTCGAGGTGACTGAGTATTCGCTGCTCGAGGGTATGGGTATCGACAAGTTCGTTAGCTCCAGCACATTCAGCGTCGGCGGCTATGACTGGAACATCAGGATCTACCCTGATGGGTGGAAGGAAGAAGACAAAGGTGCCTACATGTCTGTCTTCTTGCGCATCTGCAGTAAGCCAACAACGGGTGTCAAGGTGAAGTACACATTCGGTTTATTGGAGAAAGATGGAAAAGTTAGTTGTCTGTACAGCGAAACACATACTCCCTCCGTAAACTAATATAAGAGTGTTTAGATTACTACTTTAGTAATCTAAATGCTCTTATATTAGTTTACAGAGGGAGTACCTTTCAGTCCGGTTTTTGGGGCTGCCCCAAGTTTATTGAGAAGTCCAAGCTGAAGGAACTGCTATCCCGCAATGACGACTGCTTCACGCTCAGGTGCGTTTTGACCGTGATGAAAGAGCCTCGCACTGAAGATGTAAGCACAGTCATAGTCCAAGTGCCGCAGTCAAACCTGCACACACACTTTGTGAACATGCTCAAGGACGGAGAAGGCATGGATGTGACGTTCAGTGTCGGCGGCCAACAGTTCAGTGCACATAGATGCGTGTTAGCCGCGCGATCCTTGGTGTTCAAGGCCGAGCTCTTTGGTCAGATGAAGGAGACCGCCATGAAACACATCAAGATCGATGACATGGATCCTTCTGTATTCGAGGCACTTCTGCACTTCATATACACTGATTCTCTGCCAAGCGACTCGGATCTGGATCGGAATGTGGAATTGCAGCACTTGTTGGTTGCCGCAGATCGGTACGGACTGGACCAGCTGAAGGCTATGTGTGAAGGGAAGCTATGCCAGAAAATCGATGTGCAAACAGTGGCAACCACCCTTGCTTTAGCAGAGCAGCACCACGCCGCGCAACTCAAGGATGCTTGTCTCAGACACCTTTCTTCACAGGAGGTGCTTCGAGCTGTCAAAGAGACTGATGGATTCAAGCACCTCACAGCAAGCTGCCCATGGATCATGATGGACATTTTAGAGAAGGTCGCGCCACCGTCAGGAGCATGAGCAGTCTGGCTCTGGATTTTTGCTTAAAGTTTGGATCTGCAGTAGTGTCCCATTTTGATTTTCTTATCATGTGTCTTGTGTGTCGGTTGCAGAACTGAACTTGTCTTCCAGAATGTGTACCCTGTGCTCTTGACATTTGAACTAAAAGTTCTGAGAGATTTCGCATGGTTATTTCTTTCATTTCTGTTGCGTTGTTTTCTTTCTCCCTTAGTTTTGGTAGTGAACTTTCCTGTAGAACCAAATGTAGAAGGTTTGCATGCTCTGACATAAAATGGATACTGGACTGAAGTTCTGAACCTGAACTTATTTGCTGTACCAGAGTCCCTTGCACTTCCAGCTATTCGAAGTTTCATCTGCCTGGTTTTGTTATCCAGGCCAAGTTGAAACGAAACTCTCGAGGTTTAGGAGCTTCAAAGCAAAGGGTCGTGATCTGAAATTTCCCGAACCAATTTCCTGACAGAGACCATAGAAAGTTCCTCCCACCCTTCAGACATCAAGATACGATCCAATTTTTCTAGGGTAGGATGAGCTTGGTTGTTAGTCCAAGTGTATTTCCCCCCACTAATATAGATTTCTCTAAGGGCCAAAGCATTGATGATGGAATTGAAGATATCAGTTGCTCTATTATTCTGCATCTTTCTATTTTTCTCATCACCATGCCGCAGGATATTAAAATCACCCCCTACAATGTAAGGACTAGTCATGCTACTACAACTAGCAGCGAGCTCTACCAGAAACTCCTCATGGGCTGCCCCATAGACCACCAGCAGGCCCCAGTCAACATTCTTCTTCTTGTCATGCAAGGTTAGCTGTAAAACATATTTCCTCACACCCCCAAGGATGCCACCAGACTTCCCAACAGATGGTATCCATTCCCAATGGAATAAACCAAAAGGGTCAATTCTCCTAATGCATTTAGGAGTAAAGTTTTTCTTCATAGTTTCTTGCAAACCAATGAAATCAATGGAATGGTCACTAATCATGTCTGAGAGGCAGGTGGCCATTCCTTTCTTGCCTACCCCTCTACAATTCCAAATGAGCCCTATCATTTGGAACATTTTTTGTGAAAATGAGATCTTGTAGTCCTGCCATGAGGCAATGCAGGACTACAACACATATCCTGAGACACTGCCTTTTTCTGGCTCCTAGTCACAGGCCTAGAGAGCTTAACGGCAGATTTCTTTTTAGATCTTTTTTTCTTTTGTTTACCAGAGGATTTTTGGTCATGGACAGTTTCATCTTGGTCAAGCCTACTGTTAGTAGGATCTGGTCGAGGAAGGTGCATTCCTCGGACCCTATTAATATCCTAAATATCAAACTTAAAAGGTTTAAGAACTATTTTAAAGGGTGGGGGTCAAATAGATATGGCCATGACAAAAGAAGGAAAGAGCTCAGATTGGAGCTAGCCATGCTGAAGGAAATAGGAGAGAGTGGTCCCTTGTCCCCTGAGATGTATAGCATCAAAGTCGATGTTAGTGCGGAGTTGCATGAACTTTTGGTGAACGAAGAGATATTTTGGTTGCAGCAATCTCATGAAGGATGATATTATGCTCCTATTTGAACACTTTCATAAAGGGGATCTAGATGTCCAACGCCTTAATTATGGTGTGATTACCCTCCTTCCTAAAACTGCGGGTGCAGACAAGATACAACAATTCCGACCAATTTGCCTGTTGAGGTGTCCGTACAAGCTTATTATTAAGGTCCTAGATAGGCGAGTTGAAAAATATGCTGATAAGCTCATCAGTAGGGCCCAAAATGCTTTCGTGAAAGGGAGGAACATCATGGACGGTGTGATGTGTCTGCATGAGATTCTTAACTACACTCATGTGAAAAAGAGGATGAGTGTAGTTCTGAAACTCGATTTCGAGAAGGCTTATAATAAAGTAAATTGGGATTTTATTCTAGATTGCCATAAATTGCGAGGCTTTAATGATACATGGTGCGTGTGGATTAGGAATATCCTGCATAATGGGACTGTGAGCATCAAATTAAATAACCAAGTAGGCCCCTACTTTCAAAGTGCGAAGGGGGTTAGCCAAGGCGATCCCCATTCCCCATTCCTGTTCAATCTAGCTGTGGATTGTTTGGCAAAAATGATTACAAATGCCCAAAAAAGTGGCTTGTTAGTGGGTCTTGCTTCTGATCTGATACCTAATGGGGTGGCAGTTCTTCAATACGCTGACGATACTATTATCTGCCTAGAACATGACATTGACATAGTAGTCAACTTGAAGATGCTTCTTTACATGTTTGAATTGATGTCGGGGCTTAAGGTGAATTTTCAAAAAAGTGAGATTCTTACAGTGGGGGGTGATGAAAATGTGGTGAATATGTATGCGGACCTGTTTAACTATGAGGTGGGCAGCTTCCCTATTAAGTACTTGGGGATGCCTGTTAGCTACACCAATCTCAGAAACTCAGACTGGGAATTTATCATTACCAAGTATCTGAAAAGATT